AATCACCTTTTACCAATACAGTCTCGTGGTCTTCAAACACTCGATGGCTGGAATTCATAATGAAATAATTGCAGACGTTAAGGGTCATTCTTTGCTTAATCTTTTTTGTAATTAAATATGCTTCGGGGTTAGCTTGTTGCCAAGGGTAAACCCCTCACTTTCCTGGAGGGTGGTTAAGGACTCAAAAAACTCCCATTTAATTGAGTTCTTTTGCCATTAACAAATGATTTCAAATGATGTAGGGCATTTCTTGCTAATTTCAACATATGACATGGATCAAGGATAGCGTAGATGTAGTACTTTTGTGTAGGATGTTTGAATTTTGTAATTATTGTGTTGTAGGATGTTGTGAAAGTGCAACCAAGTTATCTGAACATTGTAAGGTTTACTGCTGTACCATCTGTTGTGATTGATCACATACGAAGTCCTGCTTCAGCTGCCAATGAAAGTGCCATATTGGCAAGTTCGGCTTTGTTTTGCCACTCATTTTGGTTGCAAGAAAATATCCTATTGGACATTTCCAATGACTTCGTGCACCCACAAGAAGAAATACAACGGCTTCAGTTGCAATTTCACTTGTCGTTTCAGTTGGTATTGGTCTATAGTCAACAAAGCCCACATATCTCTCTTGATTTGCATCCCACAAGGTTTGTTTCTAATTTCCATTGCATCTCTTACAAGGAAGCCATCTCTCTTGTCTGTAGATTTTTTGACTTCTTCTGATAATGAAATGAATGCTTCCTTAATGAATCCAGGCTCACATTTTTTAGTGCTGGACCATTTTTTATCATTGATGGAATTGGAAGAGGCTATATTGATCTAACATACTCATATGCCTTTGGTGAATAATAGTTAATAGTTGTTGAAAATTCTTTCACAGTGTCTGAATATCTTCGTGCACAAGGTGCACAATTAACATTGTTCTTGGTGTCTCTAAATATTGAGAGTTGTATCTGGTCAAACTTCGCATGCAAATGTTCAGCAGCATCACTTCATATAATCAGTTTTTCTTTTAGTTCCTGAATAATGTCTGTCATTGTTTGTTGTTTTGTCCGTCATTGTTTGTTGTTTTGAACTTTAATGTCCATACCAGAAGAATGGAGAACAAGCAGAATAGTGCCCCTTTACAAACAGAAAGGTGATCCCCTAAGCTGTGTAAACTATCGAGGCATTAAACTCCTCTGCCACTCACTGAAATTATTTGAGAGAGTGATAGAGGCGAGACTGAGAGAAATAGTGAAGATAAAGGACAACCAATATGGATTCCAACGCGGAAGATCAACCACTGAGCCGATGTTCTGTCTGCGGATGCCTTAAGAGAAGTATAGAGAATTCAACAAAGAGCTACATATGGTTTTCGTGGACCTTGAAAAGGCATATGATACAATCCCAAGGGAGCTACTATGGTACTGTCTAAGGAAGCGTCAAGTCCCGGAGGCCTATATTGAAACCATCAAAGATATGTATAAGCGCTCTACCACGAGTGTCGCAACGAACGTTGGTGAGACTGAGAAAATTCAAGTAGAGGTCGGGTTACATCAAGGCTCGGCACTAAGCCCCCTACTCTTTATTATCATTATGGATGTAATCTCGGATGACACGACAGAGGACACACCTTGGAGTATGATGTTTGCAGATGATTTGGTCTTGTGTGATGAGAAGAGAGAACATCTGGAAGGAAGACTAGAAGAGTGGAGAAGATTATTAGAAGATGTTGGCTTGAAAGTTAGTAGAGCCAAGGCGGAGTACCTCCCACCGAGTGACTGCATAGGAAACATCAAGCTAAGAGAATATGCTGGACCCGGAAATACAGATCTACCAAAGTGCGAGACATTTAAGTACCTCGGGACCACCATCCATCAGGATGGCGGTTGCAAGACCGAGGTTTAACTACGGATTAGCCGGGCATGGAATAAATGGAGAGAGTTAACGGGAATGCTCTGTGATAAGAAGATGCCGAAGAAACTGAAGATCCTCATCTACAAAACGGTGATACGCCCAGTGCTTCTGTATGGGAATGAAACTTGGCCTGTTACAGACTACCTAGCAGAGAAGATCAGTGTATGCGAGATGAGAATGATACGCTATTGTCTTGGAGTCAGCCTGGAGGAGCACAGAACAAATGAAAGCATAAGAGAAGAAGCGAATGTCATGAGTATACTGAAATTGATGAGAAGAAAAAGACTGCAGTGGTTCGGACATGTGTGCCGGCGTGAAGAAGATGTAGACATTCGGAGAGTTTATGAGATGCAAACGGAGGGGAGACGGAAACGAGGACGCCCAAAGCATCGGTGGAAGGATACCATCAGGAGAGACATGCAGCTATGTGGTGTCAAAGAAGAGGATACCCAGGACAGAGCAGCCTGGAGAAGTCTCATAGAACTGGGTCTCCGGCAAAGACCCGCTACCCGAGCAGGAGAAAGCGGAGAAAGGTGACCAAAGGTGACCATTGTTTGTTGTTTTGATTAGTCCGCCTTAGTTGTTGTTGCAATCCTCTAATTTTTCATTTTTAATTTTCCTTCCAGGTATGTTCTTGACTCATTTGCTTCTCAAATGTGTCATATCCGCAGAAAATGTTGCTGGTGTCGTGTTGTTAGCAAATGTTACTGGGGTTGTAGCCATAAAAATTGTTACTGGAGTTGCAACTGTAGATGTTGTGCGTTTGAATAATTGATAGTTGAACAGAACATTCAATGCCAAGGTTATGGTTGCAATAAAACTGCAAGCCCAGAAATATAAAGATAAGTAGCTATATATACTAGTGTATAATTAAAAAGTAAAAAAACTTAATCAGGGTTGTACTTGATATAAAAGTTTAAGCATGTAATCATTTGACCATGTGACTGACTAACCTTACAAGAAATAAGATAAATACATGTTGGACGATTTTTTGCCGCTTTATTCTCCAGATCCCAAACTGAATTCTCGAATATATTTTCTTTTCATTAAATAATCTGTGAAGAGTGCTAGACATGAGACAACCGGCGATAAACAACATCACAGTCCATATCATCGTGTTGATGAACACCTAAAGTTAGAAATTTATAAAAGATTTAAAATTTTTAATTTTATTAGGGGATCTTTAGAGTAGCATAGGATATGTTGTCCTTCATGAACTAAAGTTGTAGAGCAATGAAGCGTTACATCGTTCTTAATACTAACAAGTATTGCAAGAAAAAAAGCACAAATATGATTAATTTTGGGTATTGTTTTTAATGCTATATTTAAAACAAACACTCTTTTATCAAATAAAAAATGGCCGATTTTTGTTTACCTATAACTAATGGCCAGTAATGATGGTGAATTGCTCATGCAATCCAATTAAAAAGAACACAAGCATCACCATGGCAACAATTAAAGAAGTAACCATGGCAAACATTCCAAAATCTAAGCTTCCTGTCCCTGCCCAAGAATTGAGGGCACAACGTGCATCGTCTAAAAACAGCCTCATTAAAACGATGGCACACAATAGCATAACCTACAGAAGAATGAAACTTTGCACATGTATTACATCCATAAAAAATGTGATATACATAGCATATCAACTGCAATACATTTATGAGTCAGTCATAAGTTTAGATAAAATGATTTACTCACAGACGCGAATAATTTATTGACTCGTTGACTCGTTTTTAGAAACTAAAAGCCTTTAAGTATCGTCCCTATGTTTGGCTTTGATGCTTGTATATAAAAAAGAGGAGTAAATTATCGTAAATTGACATAAAAAATGAAGAGCAAAAATTATTCATCGAAGGCAATTTGCTTTAAATTTATTCGTACTCTAACGCAAAAGAGCTGAATGTTTTTGGAAGAAGGTTGAAGCTTCATCAAATTTTTTTAATTTCATGATTTATCAGTCACAGAAAGAAACAACTTTTGATTATGAGTCGAAGAAATTTAAAGATTTAAATGACCGCCAACGAAGAAAGAAGTAGCATAGTTAAATTTCCAGCCAGCATTTAAAACTCACCAAGAATAGTTTCACAGTTACTTTCAAATAGTGTAGAGTTGAAAATTGAAACGCGTCAACTGTAGTTCAATAGACTCGCGCTATACAACTAAATTGTTCCATCTGAGTTTTACTCAATAGTTCACAACGGGAAGCTATGCATTATTTACAAGCAACTTGTAAGCAAAGGAGCCCACCTGTATCGTGAGTTGGGAAAGCACAGAAACAATTTGTAACAAAGGAAGAAGATTGCGCATGCGCAGTTTAGTTTTCGTTGATGAGTTGGCTGCACTGGAGTTGTACAAATAATTCTTTTCTCCTTTTTTCTATCTTTTTCTCTACTTTACTTTAAAGAATCGCATTAACACAACAAGAGGCAGTAGGAATTTTTATTCTACAGTAAGAAAAACAAACTTTATCAACAATTTGCTGAGTAAATTGGTCCAGCACGTTTAAGGAGATTAGTAACTACAGTTAATCATTTTATCATTCCTATTAGTCAAAAAATGTAAAAGGCTGTCTGCCATTATGATGATGACAAGTGTAATAAGGTATACGTTGCAAAATTTTCTATACGCCATATCTCCAACATATAGAGTCTTCTTTCTGAAGTGAAAACACCTCATCCTCAGGCTTTTTTGCCAATCTTTCTTTTCATATGTCCTTCACTATCCATATGATTATTAACACTATTAAAAATCCGTATACATTCATATATAGAAATGATAATATTTAAACACACTAACATGAGTAACGTCGTCAACTTAAGGGGCGTATGAAGTAGCTATTTACAGCAACTATAAAATTGCACATTAAAGTTATTTACAAAACGCTGCATACAAAAAAATTAATACTTAGAATATGACATAGTGTATAAGGTTATAAGTCAATTACGTAATCACAATTGATTTCAATAGAAATTAATAAAGTAGAACGTGTATTATAAAAATATTACCCCTCCGAACCAAGTATCAGTCTTCGGCCACCCTTGTTACTTTTACCAAATAATACTGTACATTTTCAGTTTATCTATGATAATAGGGACCTTAGTTGAATAATGAGTTGAAACTCAGTTTGTTTGCTTCATTTATTTAACAGAAGTACAGTTTTAAGTAAAATCGGTGAGAAAATAGCTACAGTTTCAACTGATTATTTAATTAATGTCACTGGCGTCGTCGTACAAGTTCTGCTTTTGAATAAATGATAGTTTAAGTTTGCATCGACTGCAAAAATAATGGTTGCAATGAAACAGCAAACCTGAAAAATAGAGATAAGAATGCTAAATATTTGAAACACTCAAAGACTTTTCTTTGGCAGACTAATACTTCATGTAAGTGTGTTGTAAAATGTGATTAAGTAGTCATTTAACTCATTGATATGTATATAACATGGATCGCGCATCACTAATTAAATTTGAAGCCAGAAGGCGGCCATATTGAACAGTCCCACTTCACGAGGTTGACGTACAAAGTATATTAATTTCTGCTGTGAAAAATTTCGAATTCGTTAACTTAAGGTGCATTGAAGAAATTGCTACGTATTAGCTTTAACAACATTAAGTGAAGGAAGCAGTTTTACTATTAAGAAAAGATTTTTTTCCAAAATTTTCGTGACACCATTTGAGAGAACTATCGCAAAAGAATGCTTCTAGCTTCACGTTGAAAGATTTTTTAAGGTGTATAAGTACAATGTGCTCCAAAATTCATTGCTATCGTGGTTCTTTACTATAGACTATTATTGTGAGTAAGACTGTTCAATATGGCGGCGCCTCTAATAATACCTGTCTACTTCCGGCTTCAAATTTTTGCACTAAAACGATATCGGAAATGCACGAACCTTGTAAGATACATATCAATGATTTAACTACGTGAATGACTAACCGTAGCACTAATAAGATGAAAGCATGTTACACCGACTTTATCAGTGTCCAGGGAATTACATAGTGTATTATAGATCTTCTTGCTATAATATTTTCGAAGAGTGTTGGACATAACACCACAGGCTATTAACAGCATTACACCCCATAGCACCATGTTGATGAACATCTAGAAATAGAAATTTAAAGAATTTCAGGTTTCTCACGAGAAAATGAAATATAACATTGAGTACGATACTTTTCATCGACAAAATACTGTGCAATATTATCTTGATGACAATCATTGATTCAACAAAACAAAATTTCTTTGATATTTTATACCTACCGTCAATGGCCAGTTAATCACAGTGACTTTTCATGCAATCCAGTTACAAAACAACGACCATCACCATGACAACAATCCATGAGACGACAATTGCAAACATTCCAAAATATAAGCTACCTTTTCCCCAAGGGTTGATGGCAGAACCTACGTTGTCTAAAATGCTCCCAATGTACTTATTGCAATCAATAGTACACCCTACAAATGAATGAAATATTTCGATATATATGCATAAAGCATGGAACTGAAAAATATAACACGTGTATATATAATTTGGCCGAATGCAGTAATTGCGAGGGTCGGCCATAATTTTAAATAAAGTAAACCACTTACAAATTCTGCTATCTTCAAGAAAAAGGGAATCGTTTTGATGTATTTAGTTCCCTTCGGTATCGCCCCCATGTTTGGCTATAATGCTGATATGCAAAGAAAAGTAAGTTGACGTCATGACTGGTTGAAAAATGACATGTCAAAAGTATTAATTAAAACAAAATTTAGGTTAGTTATATTACGCTTGTGTGCTTAAAATTGGAATTTTTGTTTTTCCAGTTGCTGTGTAAAAGAGCCTGTATTTTAGAAAAAACGTTGAAGTATCAGACATTCAATCCATAATTTATTAATTATGGAGAAAAAAAACACTTCTGAGTATATTAATTCGATAAGAAACATAAAAATAAAAATGACAGTGAAGAAGAAAGAAAGAACACAGTTAAATTTCCAGCAATCGTATGAAACACTTAACGCAAAAAGTTTCGCAACTACTTGTGAACGATATGCAAAGATAGCGTTTATTTGAAAAATTAAACACGCAAGATGTTGTTCAGAAGACTCGCACCTCTTTACAATAATTAGTACAAGTCTCGTTATATATAATGTTATGAAAGTTATGCATTATTGATCAATCACCAACTTGCAAGGAAAATGAACTCACATGTCACTGGAAAAACACAAAATATTTACTTTCATATAAGGGCAAGATTGTGCAATTTAGTTTTCGACTCATATATTTGGTTACAATTGTCGTAGATTTATAAAAATACTTGATTTTTCTTTCTTCTTCGATCTCTATTTCTCATCACATCGTCGCGATGAGAAGTAGCGGATTTTTTTGCTTCTGTATAGTTGAACAACTTCGCTGTGCAACTTCTCTCCGATATATAACGCATCACTCGATTACAGTCATTACAGACTGATGTTACTCAATTTAGCGTTCTTATTTGTCAGAAATTACAATTTACTGGCTGAGGTTAGTCAGTTCAACAAAAAAATCACCACAGTGGCCCTCCGACCCTACTGTATGTTATCTATACTGTGTTTCTGCTGTGCAAATTTTATGTCCGTTTTTAGTCAATTCCATATTTTAAATAAACACAAAATATCTTTAATGTATTAGTAAAAAATTGGCTTGTTTGTCACTGCTAATCAAATCCAATATTATCTTAACATATCAATCTATAATTTGATAATTGACTGTAAATCATAGCAACACTCTTATTTTGATAATAAATGGTAAATTATACATCTGAAATAATGACCTTGAACCACTTCCAGTAAACATGTGAAGAAGCAGGTAGCAGAGGATATAGTTATATCTTGAATCAACACCTGTCCGCATGGACTCCATGCTGTCTGATATTTTTATATTAACATCTGTATGAAAATTTTGTTTAGGAAATAGAAACGAGAATTAAAATCAGATGTTTTCTGGAAAAATTCACAGGTAGGCATAAAATATTATTTAAGCACGCGGGTTTGGTGATATAAATTTATTAATAGTGTGATTACACAATTTATATCACAAGTAAAGGAATAATTAATTACGAGTTTCAATTAAATTTGCTCTTGCAATAATTTATTCGTAAATCCACCTGTTATTCTAAAGAGTAGCGTATTTTTAAATGAAGCTAAAAATTGCAAGAAATGTATTGCTTCTGTAACATATGCAGAAAAAAAGGACTTGAGCGTTAGGTGTTGGACTGTCTATAAACAAGATGTTTATAATGATGTCGCAGAGAGACAATTAAGATGGCGCTTTGTTAGTCCATCATTCCTATAAAGCTTATCAACTTAAAATAAATAATTCCACGAGTACTTTCAGACGATAAGCAAGGATCCCAAACACAAAGTACACAATATCCAACGCTATTCTGCGTTAGCATTGTACGAGCTTGATAAGCTATCAGTCCAGATCCATGTAACGAATCACCATAAGACAAGCTTTCAACTGATTTATCTCTTGTTAATCTTTGACACCCCTTATTCCGTCAAGAAATCCACTTGTCAGTCAAACATGATTCCAGATCAGTTAAAACTCAATTGAACTTGTAACCTGCAAGATTTATACTGGCTTATTCCCCTGTTTATCTATCTTATTATTGTTTCTAGAAAGACAACCTGGCAATGAGTTAAAACATTTGATGTATTCTTCTAAAAAAGCCAGTCATGTGTCCGATACAATATCTCCTCGACCTTGAGACTAAACCAAAGGTAATAATAAAAACCTTCTCTAGCCGACAATTTGAAAAAACAAATGAGAAAACACACTTCAAATTTCATGAATCTTCGGACACTTTTTACACGGACTTTTTACCGCAGCTGACACGGGAGTTTTCTCGACCGTAGCCGTCGAAAATTCCGGTCGGAGGCGGTGCTTTCTCGGCCGAAGTCGGAAATTAAAGAACCACTAACCATCACAAACAGTGACCACTAATCACACTCATAACAATCCTCCACTAAGCCATGGTACGCACTACACATACGAGCTTCTGGCAAGTCACCTTCAGGGGCGAAACTAGAATGTTAAGTGGTGGAACGTGAATATTCATATATTCAACTCTGCTTGATTGATTTGGTTTGTCTGCCATTTGAGTAGCTGAATGTAGGAATATTCCTCACCCACCCCCCCCACCCCCAACATAACGTCTTAGTTTCGCGTTGGTCTCCTTAGCCTACCTTTTTTCATTTAAGTTCATTTGCTTTTACAGCATTTGATAAAAAGGAAGTTCATTAATGCGCTACACAATTCAAATACGTTAAGACAAAGTGCAGTAGCGTTTGTGTAACATCAATATGGCAAATTAGTAATTTCAATAAGATCACTTCATTATGCATTCTCTTAAGCGAAAGTCAACAGCGTTAGTCAAACGTCAAAAGCATTTAGTGAGCATTTAATAAAGTTTTGGGAAGTACAATAGCATAATAACAAATAACATTAAAACTCCATAAAATGTCAATAACAATACATGTTTGCAATGGCATGATTATAACCGTCAATATAGCAGAACCATTTATCCGTACGGTGTCTGCCATTTGAAGATAGATTTGAGAAAGTTTTTCAAATGTAGGAACTATAATTTGTCCGTGTTCACTGTGTTTGAGTCATTTTCACTGGTTTACGAGTGAAGCGGAACAGATGTGGTTTAAATACGCGCACAATAGAGACGACCACTTTAACACTTTCACATTCATACACTTAAAAAAAATAAAAAGAAAGATTCTTGAGGGTTAATCATGCAATTGCAAACATATAGTAATATTGACATTTTATAGAGTTTTAATGTTATTTGTTATCATGCCATTGTACTTTCCAAAACTTTTATTAATGAACGCTACATTCTTTTAACATTAGGAATTCATAATGAAGTAATCTCTGATCATTTGCTATGTAGATTTTACAAAAATGCTATTGATTTTATTCTATACGTCTTTGAATTGCGTTTTATTTAAATGACATGCAAATGCTTAAACTGACGTATTTAAAATATAGCTCTGTTGACTTTAGTGAAATCGATATCTATAGCGGAGAGTCAGTCTTCTGTAGAAGTTACACACTAAAATTCAGACCTTCAAACTTGCTTGTAATGTAAGCGATGAATTTTCATTTTTATAGACACTAGAGCCGTATATTTTCAGCAATAATTATGACAAGAAGAGAAGATGTTTTTAGCAAATGGAGACCAAACTTCAACATTACCTTTCTAACAATTTGTACTACATTGTATTTGTTTTATCATCTTCCTAAACTTACTTGGTGTGTATTGCTTCTTTTTGAAGTTATTCTCATTTCAATGTAGATCTGTCTACCCAAGGAAATGAGTCAGTTTTTAAAACAGGAGGAGAAACTGACCGACACGAGTTGCAAGGCTCTGAAAGAGCACCGAAGCAGGTAATGTGTGTTTTTATTGATGTTTTATGCGATATACATGAATGTCAATGTTGACACTCAGGTAATATTTTTTTCTTACAAATAACTTTCATTTTTTTGTCATTGAAACGCTATAAAACATGAAAACTAACCCAAACCATGTACGCTACTGTTGAAAGCAACAGGATTAAATTTTGCTCAGTATGTTTCAAAAAACTTAGAAAATGTATTCACAACACATGCGCTCACTGTTTACTGTAGTAGAAATGTAAACGGGAAATGTTTACTGTTGTAAAAATTTTACTTTATTTCGATATACCGTTTGAACGTAAAATATGATTCAAATTATTGGATTTTGTTTCACGCCAGTCCGTCAAGTGTAATGATATTTTTCGTTGCTATGGAAAAGAAAAGTGCACATTAAACTGAGGTAGCTAGAAGCATCAAGAGATCCATTTCCAGAAAGAAAAAATTTTGAGATAACGGTTGGGACAAATTGGCAGTGAAACACAAAATTTTTCTGAGTTTGATCAAATTCCTGTTAAATTTCCATCCACAAAATGTAACACTAACCAAGAATAGTTTCACTACTACTTATAAAGATAAGCAAGAATAAAGTAAAGTTGAAAACTAAAGGTGGAAGCACACGATCTTTAGTTTCACCGTTTGATACACTCATACCGAAAATGAACTGTAAGAAAGCAGATCTCACAGCATAGTTTTAATTGAAGATAGCTCGGTGTGTATTTCTGTAACATTTCACGAGAAAATTCATCAAAGTTCGCTTGTTCGTGATTTTCTTTGATATCAGCTTGCATTAAACTTCGTAATGCCAGTTTTTGTTTGGTGGACCATAAAGTATGCAGCTTTTTGTGTGCAATTTACG